CTAGCCCAATGTTTTACTTCAAAGAGTCAGCAGTTCACAGACAAGAAAGTAACACAGGGGAGTCATAAAGCAGAGATAGTTGGCACAGACTAGGCTGGATAAATTGTGCCTTTCTGTTTTTTTGATAAAAGCAAAACCAAATTCAAAACACAACAGTAGGAAGAAAACCTCTTGAGAAAAATAAAATTCTGGGTTTGCCTAGAGATACAACCAATTTTCATTAGTGTAAGTTAATTACTGTGTGCTTTCTACCCTGCTAGTTTATTATGACCACATCCAATGGAAAGCATATGAAAAGTCATCTGTTCGACCTCTCTGTGTTCGGCTGCCTTGTGTCTGTGTCCAAGCCTGACTCTGAACTCCAGTGGGAAGCCCAAGTACTTAAGTCCAGATCCAGGCATTTGGCACAACTTTTCATAGGGACTTCAGGCTTCTCTGGGTCTGGTCTTTAGGGGACAATCTTGTAAAGGTTACCCAAACATTTTATTTTGGAACCCCAGCAACAGAAGGAGATTTTACACTGATGGTTGCTCCATAGCTGCATTCCACAGGCTGTTTAAGATCATAACATGTCAGGCACAAGCTTTCCTCCTGTGGCAGTACAGAAGCATACATATCAGGTGAGGGTGAACAGTGTCTTCGTCTGAGCAGTCCCATCAGCTTCAGCATTTTAGCATGATGCATTTCACCTGTGCAGGACCCATCTATTTGCTTGGCTCACTTACCCACCTAAGCAATTTCACTGAAGTCAATAGGATGATAACATGAGCTCACTACCGAGACAGAACAGCTTGCTGTTGCCAATGAAATACGTAGACTGGTTTGATAGAAGAGTGTAGCTGAGGTCTGGGGCTCCCTCAGTGATGATCTGAGTAGCCTGTACAATTTACCTCCTGGCTGGAGGTTAGGCATACTGCACAAGTGTATTTAACAGAGTAATAACTCTGAATTTTCTCTTAGAGATTGAACTGAAACTCCCAGGAAGCAGCACAAAGATAATAACTGAAAACTCAGCTGAAATATAATCACTCTAATTAATAACTATTAAGAAGAGCTTCTTGTCAGGAGAAAGGTTCCAGGAACATTGAAGTCAGCTGGCAGGATCCAGCCCATCTGATTGGAAACTGCCAACTACCTGTGAGAGCACTACTCTGTTATAAAACAGAAGAAAGAAGGCACTGTGGAGGTTTGGTGGGGATTTTTTTTTTTGTGCTACAAACTTGTAATGGAAAATGGATGAAGTGAGGAGAAAACTCATTCTCTTTAATACATCTGGATTATCAGGTACTTTTAGGAAGGATGAACTGGAACAAGAAATACTGAATTTAGGAAACATTATTCTACTAAAAGTCTGTAAAATCTGATTTTTCTGCTGTTAAGCAAAGTAGTTGTGTTAATGGATCCTTAGTTCCAGTTTTTTAGATGACTTATGAGGCCTTAAGAGCTGTGAGTAGGATCTTTGAATTCCCAGGGATTTCTCTCTAAGAAGTTTTTAAATTCTGATTTTTCTGGTAAGCTGCTCACCTGGGGTGCTTAGCTGGTGCTTGTTGGGACTTTTTTTGTTGTTTTGTTGTTGCTGTTTTTTTTTTTTTTTAATATGTAAATTAATGTTGTCTGCTTCATGGTATTACTTCAGTAACTAAAATGAATGATTTAGTGTAGGTAGGGGTATGTTAAAATGCAAGAACAAATGGAAGAATAACAAGGAAAAAAATCAGAATATGACAGAAGATAATTGCTTTTACTTCTGTTTGCAGTCTAGGGCTCTGCATGGACACTAAATCACTGTTTACTCTTAGGATGTTATAGTAGATAGTGCTGTCACCTATGGGAAAGACGGAGAACTGAGTTTATTGCACTCTAGTTGTTAATATTGCCCTGACTAGAGCCAAGAGGGGCAAGTCATTTAGCGTGCTTTACCGATTTAATTTGCTGGTGAGTACATGTGAAGGGCTGCCAGAGGAAGCTGAGGGGAGAAGAGTTAGGACAATTTGCTTTCCACTTAGTAATAGTAGGTGAGGCAGGGAAACTTTTCCCATTCCCAGCTGCCCCTGTCATCTTTCCCCACCCTGGCCTACCAGAGTCTATGCTAAGTTTCTTCTGGTTACTGTTGTAGCTACTCTGGTAAAATACTGTCAGAGTATTTCACCTGTTGTCTGGGAAACAGGACGCATGTGGTTATTTGGCTGTGATTGCACACTGGCAGTAGCACTGGTGTGGATGTCAGAAAGTTTTCCATTTGCTGATGAGTGCAGGACCCTGATGTGAATTTCCAAGGGAATGCTCAGGTGGAAGCTCTAAACTAAGGTTTCATAGTGAACACTGTAAATCGTAAATGCATTTATAAAAAATGTGTTGATCTCTACTTAAAGAACTAACAATCGGCAAGGTAACTGGGGAGATGGGTGGGAAGCTTTTATAAAGACCAAAAAGCAAATAAATCTATCTTGAAGTGCTAATCTTGTACTTGAGTGTGCTATATTTTGACCTCACAGATGTGGATAATACCTCTCTTGTCCTGGGCTCGATTCCTCAATCTGTTGAATAATGAATTTCCCTCTGCTCAGACGACTGGGGATGCATCTCATAAGAGGTTCATGGTCAGGTTTGCAGTAAACTGATGCCCTCTGCTGGGTATGAGGAACTTCTAAAATGTAACCCCCTTATTTCAGAGCAGGATTATGAGGTTCGAACAAAACTACAAAGAGTGAACTGGGCAGTTTAATCACAATCATTCACACCTCCCTACGGTATTTTTTAATACGTGCTTGGAGGAGAGCTGTTAATTTGAAATCTAATTGCAGTGAATGAATATCAGTATAGTTCTGGACACATTTTCCACATTGGTAAATATTAGATGCAATTGTAATTAAAGATATTTAAATATGAATATAATCCTTTTAATAAGCTGATCCTCTAATATTAGTAGGATTTAATAACATGTGTAACTTAAAGTTGGAGAAAACTGTTTAATCCTGTTTCAAGTAAGTTGTCATTAGTATGATATTGACTGGTTAGAAGTCAGTATAAAGATGAATGTTTGCAGAATTATTGGGGAAAATCATCTGGCTCTGAGGGACAAGCTACTGCATGTCCGTACATCCTATATTTCACTTAGAAATCAGCTGAAAAATTCTGAAACTCTGCATTTATTGAGATATAACCAAAAATATGACTCTAATTTTAGAGGAAAACGAATTGAAACTGAAGATTTTATGTTTATGCTTTTTCATGGGACTAGAACTCAAAGGCTTTAATTCTGAGTCCAGCAAGCTGTAGCTGTTTCTGTCACGTAACAACTGATAGATATCCACCTGAATACTTAACCTTGGTGTAGCTAGTCACTGCAGGATTTCAGTGAGCTCTTGTGCAGCTATTGGTCCATTCTGGCTAATATGGGTTACAACTTGTACTGAGTCTGGCCTATATGAAAAGCCTAAAAAGAACACTAAACCAGGCCTGAAATCAGGGGGGCATATAATATATTTTAGTCACCTTAGTTATACTTTTTTCCCTTAGATGCTTTTAATTCTAACTTCTGGATTTATAAAATTGGGGGGTTTTATGTACATGTCTACTTCCTGCTGTTTCTGCTATCTTGAATGGTCAAGCAAGAGATTCAGAAGTTAGTCTCCTTATTTTCTAACTTCTCTTAGTCTCTCTTATTTTCTCCTTAGTTTCTAAGAGTGATGAGCTTAACTGATTAGAAGTTATCGATCCATAGGATATGTATTATTCTTAAAACCGATTCTTTTATTGTCATTGATTTCTGACTTTTGAATATGTAAATTTTGTCTAGGTGTTAACTTTTACAATTAATATCAAAAGGCAAGTTTTAACATGGTAACTGGGGTATATCTGCAGTTGACTTTTCTCTTTAATGCATGCAGAGTTTCCTTTGGCTGTATTAAAAGACAATACTGTTTAACAGGCTTAGTTGTAGAGTAATTCTGAAAGATGGGGGAACTACAGATGCTATTGGGAACAGTATGCAGTCACTTTTGGATGATGATAAAAAAAACAGCTTGTGTATGATATGGATGGGATGTTTGGTGTTTATAAAAACATGGAAAAAACTGGAGAAATTCATAGCTGTTAGCATTTTAAATCTAGCAAAATGGTAAAGACTGACTTGCAACAATGTCTTTTAAGAGAGAAATAGATGAGGGGAACATGGAAGTGTATAAAAACATACTGTTGAACTTAGTAACACACTACAATTTAGGCATGTTAAGAAAATGCAGCTAAAGGGAAATGTAATGGAATATGTAAGCAGGACATGTAAACAACCAACACTAAAACCTTCTGTCTTGCTAGAAAAAAGCATGTCTCCTGTAGTTTCAGTAGAAGCCAACAGTACCCAGTGCTTAGTGCAGGCTTTTAGTCAAAGAGCAGTCCTGTGCATTTTGTTAGGAAACGAGTGATTTGGAGAAAGTACTCATGCTGGTGAATCTGTAAAATGAAAGGCTTAACGGAGATGGAGAAATACAGTTCTAATAATGGGATGCTCTAGGCAATTTAAGCTACTGGTAGACTTGCATTTCACTTCAGTGAAACGTTTTAAGTTACTGAATCCAAAGTCTAACTGTGGACTTAAATGATGTTATATTCATCAAGCAAATGGAAGCCTTTTAATTTTGTTAACAATTGGTACTGCTGACTCTGGTCTAACTTAAAAAATAATAACTATGTAAGAATTACAAGATTGGACCACCTTTTCCCCCTCTCATTTAATCTAATTTCAAAGGTTGCTTTGAGGATGAAACAGTTCCAATGGATCCAGCATGCAAGAATAATTGCTGTGTCAGGATAAACACGCTCTGTAGTCAACAACGTAAAATGGATTAAATGCCACTTGCATGTAAGGGAAGCTGTGGCTATTACTCAGTTGTGGTGATGCTATCTGGAAAAGTGTAAAGGGTGTGCTGCGCTCCCTAAACAAACTCACATGATGGCTCAAGGCCAGTGAGAGACATCCATTGGAAGAACAGCCAACAATCTGACCAAAAGAGAAAGTCTGTATATTTTCACAGCAGATTTAATTAAAATGTAGTGTAAATTGATGCTCACATTTCACTAGGACCAGCAGAGGTCAGTACAACCCAAAGCACAGCTTTGGATTTTAGCAATACAACCTTCATGATACAGAAAAGAAAAGAAACCAATAGCAAAGATTATACAACTTTACTAAGTCTTCAGAAATTAACAGTTAACAATATTTTCAAATAAATGTGACCTGATAAATACAGAGATCTTCAAAGTCTATCATAGAAATAGGATATTTAGCCAAAAGACCAAGAAATAACACTAAATCTAACTAGTATTTCAATTATAAAATTTATTTTCCATAAATCTTGTTATATTGTAAAAGTTTAATGTTCTCAGGGTGGATAATGCATCAACCAAACAATTTCAATTCAATTTTTTTTTGTAGCAGTCTGGATATTCTTATTTGGGAACAGAAATTCAAATTAATTTCAGCTGCATGTAAACCTTTACCTTAAAAACAAGAAAAAAAGGGGAGAGGGCTGTAGAAGTACCAGTCCAATTACAGACTGATACCAAATACAGCAAAAGTATTTCAATTGTTATACAGAAACCAACAAAACTACTTATTAACGTATTTTTCAATGCCTTGACAGTTTAATAACACTTAAACAGTGAGGCTTGAATTAATAAGGATAACTTGAACTTAAATCCCAGTAACTGAACTCCTAGATGCTTCTGAATCCATTTAAGTGAACAAGATTGAATTTATCAGATGTAGCTGGGATAATCTGTAGAAGATAGAGCACTCATTATTGATACTGGAGAGAGCTTTATAATACAATATGTAAGTCACCGAGGACTTTCAGTCTCTCACATAAACAGATTCAAAACCATACTAGAGAAGGAAAAATGAGGGATTCATGTAGATGGTACACTCTACAAAGCAGTGTATGAAATGATAGCAAATGGCTCAGGATATACTACATGAAAGTTTTGTACCTTGCACTTACATACTATGAAAGACTGTTCAAGGAGAAATTACCTGGATGACTAACAAGACAGAAGGTATAATGAAGTGTGAAAATACAGTAGTATGTTTGTTTCCATAATCATACTGAAAATGAACATGAAAGCATATAATTAAGTACACTGTGGTAAGTTCCAATGGCTTTCATTAAACCACTGAATGATGAATGTGTTGTGTTTAATCAAAGCGTGTAATGTGCATATACACTAACCAACATGCTTATTTTTAATTATTTCTCCTCCTTCTATCTCAATTTGCTCATACAGCCACTTGCGGTCACAGCGACATTCAACTCCACACTTGTTGGAGCCACACTTGGGGCAAGCATAGAAACATCCCAGGCAATCTTCATCGAGACAGTCACAGAGGTCCATCCCACTGTAAAGCAGCAGCCCCTGGCTATCGTAGACTTTACTCTTAGATGGTATAACTTGCCTGTATAATGAAAAACAACAGTTATTTACATGCTAAAAAAAACACCTGTTTTGATGTCAAGTTGCTAAGTGTTGTGGACAGAAGTTTGCTTTCTTCAGGTGTCTAACACAGTTAAAAAGGTGTATATAAATTATTGTATTTGACAACATTTCTCAGTACTAATTTCACTGCAGTGCTTCTGAAATAATTTCAAGAATGAGGTTTTATTTCTTTAACAGCACATTAATTCAAGAACTTAGGAGTATTCTTAGCTATACAATGTAAACTTCAGATTACCTTTCACATGATGTGAAATGCTCCCTTAATTTACTTTGAATTATAGCTACATGTTATAAAAGAAAAGGAAGTTGTGTAGAATCATTAAGGGTGTGCACATCCTGATTTAAAAGTATTTTTAGTCTTTTATCATTACCCATCTCTAACAATTCTGTTAAACTGCAGGATCACAGAAAACTGTTTGGAAGGACCTTGGGATGCTGACCATCAAGGCTATTTTATTTTGAAGTGAGTCAATGTAAATACAGGAAACAGCTCACCTGTCTGAATTAAATGATGTATTTTTTGTTTGCAGCCTTCTTTTTTCCCTCTTACTGGTCTCAGGAGTGAATTCAGTCTGTCGTCCTGGATTAGTAAACTGTAGAGACTTTAAAGCCTTAGCTGTACGCCCCTGAAAGACAGAAAACCTCATTTAATTACAAATACAAACCTAAATTCATAAGAGAATGTCCAGTCAAGCCTAAGTAATAACTTAGGTAAATTGGTGACCTCAACTCTAAGGACTGTATTTCCCAGGAGAAACAACTTGTCTTAAAATTTTTATACTGGAGAACTGTACTAGTCTCAAAACCCAACAATACAAGCCGTATGGAAGCAATTTTAATCAATGCTTTCAAATATTAAAGTTTATTAGTCTCCTAAACACACTGACATGTAATCAAAAAATAGAGTTGGGCAACAGCCCCTGGACTGAAAGGGACAACAGCTCCTAGAATGCAATTCTGCTTTGTTACAGGGCATATGTGGATGAGCACTTGCCCATACTTCTACTGATTGCCTGCATACAGCCTGAACAGTGTATCCAGCGAGGTACAAGCTGTATCCAGACTCAGCACTTAAAGCATTATCCTCCCACACCAGTTCATTACTGCCCCTGAACAAAGGCCATGGCCTTCACAGCTCAGACACCACAAGAGTACGCTTAATTCACCTCAGTCCAGGTTCACTTAGGAATGAACCGATAGAGAAAGGGGTTTTTTTTTTTAAACTGAAGAGACTAAACAAGAAGTTTGTCTCAACATGCTTAAAAGCAATCTTTGCGGTGTTCAGTTTTAAGCCCACGAGCTTGTCTTTTTACAAGACTTGAGTAACAGCTTATAATACCAGCAGCAGTCTGGTATTTATGTAAACTTATGAGATGTAAGTCACCCTTGCAGACATAAACATTTGAATTGAAAAGGCCATAATATTTAATTAGGGAAAAGGATTTTTTTTAAGGCCCTCCAAATAAAGGTTTAAATACAGTAAACTCTCCCATATCTAAAAGACTACACCATTTCATATTTCTATTAAACTTTATTTCTTTATGTAGGAATTGTATGAAGCCCAATTCCAATAGCTTGCAGAACTTAGAGGGGTTGGGAAAACTGATCCATATACATACATCTGAATCAAGTTTTCTTCTTTGGCGATCTTCAGATTCAACATCCACGCTTCCGTTTATTATCTGCATACATTTGGGACAAAGCTTCCAACCAGGTACAAACTGTCTTCCAAACTTGGCACTTAGAAAAGCTGCATCATCTAAGTCAATTGCTCTTAAGTTTTTCTTTGATAGTTTTCTGTGTATATTAAAGGGATCACAACATGATTTTTGTAAATCTTCAAATCTTTCAATGTAAATTTTTGCATGGTGGAAGCAGATTGTATTGTTCTCTGAAAGGGTTATCCCTGTTCTAAGCTGAAGTAACAGTAGGTCAGATGAAGGTATATCTTGCTTAGCCTTGAAGCCAGTGTGACGGGTGTAATAGGTCTTATGGCATTCATTGGTAGCTTGAAGCTGAGTTCCAACTGTACAAGGTTCCATTTTATGTTATCAGAACAACTTATTTTACTTAATTTTGCCTAAAATGAATTCTTTGAAGTCTTTAATAGTTTCTAGGAAGATCACCCTAGAAAAAGAATTAAAATCCATCAGATTTGTGCTCCAAACCTTATCTGCAAATGAATTAAAAAACATGTAAAGCAAAAATAGCCTTCTAGCCTAGGTAAGATTAAATACACTAAATTTAATTCTGGAATTAAACCATGCATCTTGTATCCTTTCAGAGGCATTTTTTCCCAGCTACAGTAAATATAAATTCAACATGTTTAGTAGCATCTGGGAGCAAGGTGTGAGGTGGATGAATTGTTCAGACAGCATGCTGCTTGCTGTGGTCATCAGTTTCCTGGGGGCCCCCCTCTCGGCACAATCCCTGCTAGTCAAGACCAGCTGTGAATATGGCCCACAGGAAGAGACTGCTGATGGCTAAACAATTCACCCATCCTGTTTCCAAGTAGTTTTAGGGAAAAAAGCTGCTGAAAGTAGGCTGCACAGGCTGTCTGATGTCAGATAGCAATTCACATCCAACAGCAGTTCCCTGCATGTTCTTCCCGTGTATACCAGGTGCAAGTCAACACAGAGGATAAACCTGAGCCTTTTCAAGGGACAGCCTGGGGCATACACAAAGATTGGTGGTTCTACATCTGTGCAGTTGTGGTCATGTGGCCTGTGTGTGCAGCTCTCTCCAACTGAGCACCATGCCTGTTTGATGTAAATACTGGGCTGTTGTTTAAAGTTAAATACTCATTCATTTACCAAATACAAAGCTAGCAGCTGCAGAGTGGTCTCACACTCATGCTGAAGTTTGTAGCAAATCCAGTGCTGGCCCTAACACATCAGAACCTGAGCCCATCTTGCACTATTTTCTACTGCAACATATAGCAGTCAAATTTCTACCAAAAGAAAGGAATTCAATTGCTTTTGGAACCTCTGAGAATCTTAAATACAATGAATACAACCTAACTGGGATGTTAATGTTCACATATGTGCTACTCCGCAAAGACAAAATCAGATAAATTCATAAGCAGTGTACTGGTTTTGGCTGGGACAGAGTTAATTTCTTCATAGTAGTTTCTATGGGGCTATGTTTTGGATTTGTACTGAAAATAGTGTTGATAACATGCTGAAGTTTTAGCTAATGCTGAGCAGTGCTATCCAGGCCTCTTCTGTTCCTCGCTACCCCACCAGTGAATAGGCTGGGGGTGACAAGAAGTTGAGAGGGGACAGACAGAGCCAGGACAGCTGACCAAAGGGATATCCCAGACAACACTGTCATGCTCAGCATATAAAGCTGGGGGGCATGGGGGAGACTGGGGGGCAGTGGTGGTGCTGTTGCTCAGGAAATGGCTGGGCATTGTTCTGTTGGTGGTAACCAATTGTTTTCACTTGCATGGCTTGTTTTCTTGGGTTTTATTTTCCACTTTGTTTTGTTTTTCCTTTTCCTCATATTTTTTTTTAAAAAAAGTCCTTTATTTATTAACCTGTTTTTATCTCAACTTGCAAGTTTCTTTCTCACTCTTACCCTTCCAATCCTCCCTCCTATCCCACTACGGGGGAGTGAGTGAGCAGCTGTGTTTTGCTTAGTTGCCAGCTGGGGCTAAACCACAACACAATTATTTGTACTAACCACTGAACAGGGTAATATGGCTTTTTAATCAATAAAAGTATTGGCCAATTGTATAATGAAAAAAACCTGGGATGTTACTTTCAATAAAATAAAAGCAAACAGCATCACATACAACCTGAAATGTGTTAAGTTTATCTAATATACAGAAATATGAACACAGCAGCGCAAAAGTTTAACAGGGAACAGTGAAAAGTTAATAAGCTTTTAAAAATTACTCTGAAAAGCCATTTTTGCAGCAGAAATCCTCCTGATTGTAATACCTCAGTTTTTCTAAACCAGATGTGTGTATCTGAAACAATTACACATTACATTTCCATATATTAAACTGCATGCACAGTAACATGAAGGTCTTGCACAGGATGTTATTGTCTGGTGATTTTAACTGATCCAAATATAAATGATATATTGGGCTACACTCACACCAGTAAACTTGTTTGAAAGTATAATTTTAAATCTGATTCAAGACAGAACTGAGTATAACTAAATTATTTTTAAACAAGTTTTTCTCAGCCTACTGATAAGAATGCTCCAGCTTTCACACTTAAAGCAAGAATAGTAAGAGGCACAAAGAGTCCCAGATGTAAAGGCACAATGTTATTAACACCTCAATTTGCAAAAAATGGTGTGTATTTTGTTCTGACAATAAAGCAAGAACCAAAAATGGTTCTGTTTTCTGCAAGTTATCTGAAAATAGAAAGACTAGGTATTCTAATACTCAATACTGATTTCTCAGGTCAAAACCTAAATCCTGTATTTTAGAGACTAGAACTAGTCCAGTCCTAAATTGATAGGCTATCTGAACACTTCTTCACTGAAATGTCTGTATTCTTTAACTAAGATCTCTCCTGAAGTTCTCAACCTTGGCACAGCTCTTCATATCTGAATAATACAAATAAGGAGTAAAATGTAGATGTTCATGAAGTTTTAAAAGTTCTTATTCTCAGTGCTTGCTGAGCACTGAGGCTGTTAAGTTTTACTCCATAAAAGTTCCAATGCCTTTACCTATTTACTGCAGTACTGACTCTGATTTTTTTTTTTAATCCCTTTAAAAGACCATCTGTCAAACTTTACCATTGTAATGAACCAGCTATACTCAAAACCAATCTTTTTTTCATTAGGTGCACAAAGTCTTTCAAACTAAGGTAACTAGAACTGTGTATGATCAAAGCTCGATGCAGCTGAGTTAACATTTTAACAGCGATTTAGCTAATGCCAAATAATTCCAAGAGGTCTGTATAGGCTATGCACCAAGCTTGCTTCAAACGCTAATGCGTACTTTTAACCGATTCCTGCTGTGGAAGGTGAGGATTATGTATGCGAAGGAGGAAGCACACTAGGTCAAGACAAAAGTGATTATCTGGATTTTCAAAATTTGCAGATGTATTAGAAGTCAGAACTCTTGGAAGACATTCTAATTTAGAAAATAATTATTTTCTATTTTACAGAAAAATGTTATTACGATGTCATCCTTGGCAGGTATCTGTTTTGACAGTTGCACTAGCTGAAATACCACTATATTAAATAGGGAGAAAGCACATCAAGTCTATAACCACAGTTTGTTCAAACAATAGTATGCTGGTGACATAAGTTATGTAGCTCATCCACTTGATTTGTAGGAATTCTTGGTAGAAACTTCACATGCATTTCTTCCCTCCTCCCCTTGGGAATGGTACACAGCATTTTGCCTTTAAATTCTCTCTGCTGGAAACAGGAGAGCTTCAAAAACCAAATACCAAAACGAAGGCTTGCATTCACACCTGTGAAATAATTAATGCTTACTGCACCAAACACAATAACCTAAAGCAGAAGACAGCGATGAGGATCAGCACAGCGAAGCACTTGTGGTCAAAAAGCCCCATGCCCTAGCAGAGATTTAGCAAGGGTTTTCTAGCTTCTTGATACCGTTAGAAACAAAGGATGGAGGAAGCTATAGAGTGGCAGCACCAGTTTATAAGAAGTCGAAGGGAAAGAAGAGTCCTGAAATTACAAGCGTAAGCCCTTGTCTGAATACGCTACGCGGGACGTCCAGCGGCTGCACGGCACCGCACGGCAGACCCTCATCAGCCGGTGGCAGTGGCAGGCCAGGGCTGCCTGTTGAGAGCGGAAAGCCCGGCCGTTCCTCTGCTTCTGCGGAGCGCACTAACCCCCAAGAAGCCCCCCTGCCAGGCCGGCTGGGCGCAGAGGGCGAGCGGCAGGCCGGCCCGCGACGCAGAGTGCCTGAGCGCCACCGGGAAGGGACCTCCGCAGCCCCAGACGGCCCCTCCGGAGCGCGGCCTGGCCCGGTGCCACCGCGGCCGCTCGGCGCGGCCCGTCGCCTCGCACCCCCCTCCC